AGTCCTGCAAGGAAGGAGGTGCCCGAGATTGTGCCTGAATTCTCACCACGCGCTGATGAGGCTGAAATAGGGCTGGATCCTCTGCAGTTCAATGCATCTTAGGAGGGTGAGTGGACCAGGAGATCCTCTTAAGCTTCCTTCCTGCAAGCCCTGTGCTTTGTGTGGACTGTATCCCTGAGGTTGGGGGATGTGTTTGGGCTTCGGGCAGGTTGTCTGAACCCGCCTGGCTGTCCTGGTGTGACTTGGCTCTTAAAAGCCAACCCTGGAGAAAGGGAAATGGAGCATCCCGAGCCAGGATCATTTCACTGGAATTTCATTGTATCTGAACTGGACTTTGGGGGTTTCTTAACCTGTTTCGGGTTTGGCATGTTGTGTGAATCCTGCTTGTAGGGAAATGTAGATAGGGGTTTTTAAAAAGCCATCCCTTCGTTCTGAGAAAAAGAAAAGGAAAATGCTCCAAGATGCATTTATTGGGCATTCCAAGTGCTTGACGGAAGTCAATCCCCTATTTTGCAACACACACACAAATAAGCACAGAATCATCTTCTAAATGTCACTGCCATCCTATACCAGCTCAGAAAAATGGCACCTTCCATGGCGATGACTGTTGTTCAGTGGTGAAATCCATCACTTTCTAATTCTTGGAATGTCTTTTCTTTTCCATCTCAGACACAGAAAGCGGAAGCCTTTTGTAGGTCCTTGCGTACAGACAAAATTATCTCTTGGACAAAGAGGGCTGAATGGCCCACTGTGGTCATCCCTCAGCTACAGGAAGAGTCCTATGAATGAAAAGGCATTTGGAGAGCCACAACATTCTTCGGACCCCTTTGGAGTTGCGTTACATGACAGAGAAAGAATGGAGACACAACCCTTAGCAAGTGAGGGAAGTGGAGAAGGCCCTTCTGCTGTTCAGCCTGGGAGCTGTGGGGAGATCTGGGCAAGAACGGGGCGAAGGATCGTGGAGGAGGAAGCCATCCGTCCAGACATTCAGCCCCAGAACTTCAGGAGCATCCAATACCAGGAGGTTGAGGGTCCCCGAGGGCTTTGCAGCCGTCTCCACTACTTTTGTCGTCGATGGTTGAGACCAGAAAAGCACACAAAGGTGCAGGTGCTGGACCTGGTTGTTCTGGAGCACTTCCTGGTCCTTCTGCCCCTGCAGATGGAGAGCTGGGTGCGGGAGTGTGGAGCAGAGACCAGCTCCCAGGGGGTGGCCCTGGCAGAAGGCTTCCTCCTGAGCCAGGCAGAGGAGCAGAAGGAGCCGGTCGAGTTGCAGGTGAGAGACCTTCATTTTGGGAGCCCAGGAGGGGTCTGAATGGAATAAACAATCTGCTTGAATTCTTAACCCCTCCCGATGAGAGTTTTCTGGCATTCCTAATATGTGGAGATATTTCACTAATTCTTGTGGGACATTGTTGCATTATCCATTCTAGAAGATAGATTTGGGACAGCCATTCCTTTCTCACTTTCCAGCCTCTCTGATGGACACTGGAGGCTTTAAATTTGTGTTCAGAGAACTACAATACACTTCATGTTGGGGGATGTCTGTTAATTCTTCTTCTTTTCTCCTGCCTCCGCAGTGGACAGGAGAGATCCTGAGGGAAGGAGGAATCCATCCAGTCCCCCTCAGGACCCGTTTTTCAGAAGGATCTCTCAGGAAGATCCAAGTGAGGACACCTCAGGAGGTAATTGAAGGCCCTCCTATTCCCCAGAGAGATCCCAGCTGTCTCATCTTCTCTATGTCTTCTCTTCTCTAGAATGCCTCCTCCTCTTTTATTAATTCT